AACTACATTTAAAACTGATTCTAATCTTTTTATTAATAAGCTGCTAAATAGCTATTTAAAGAAAACTTAGTTAGACCGGTGTTATTGGCCGGAATGGTACAGGCTTTTGCTATTTTGTGAAGCATCCAGTAGACACTCTATTTAAGGTTAATTTAAGTTAAATAGTATTCAAATAGTATTATTCTGGCGCTGCTCAGTTGGTCTAGCCACATTTCAAGTTAAAATTCTGGACACTATGTGTCTCCTGCTGTGAATTTGGCAGCTTATAAGTACCTGAAGACTCGTGAGACCTTAGTGATGTTCACTAATGTCGTTTTGATACTAAGATGTGTCAGGACTTGATGCATACCTCAGTATTTTTTAAACGACCAGGTCATAATGTTTTGAAGAGGTCCTTGCAAAGTGCAGGCTGGTTCAGTGGATTTTACTGTCAGGGTAAGACACGTTCAGTTCTGTGGTTCCAGGATCCACATCACAACCAGCCTCTAAGATACCACCGCTTGCTCGGCCTGGTGCTCACACCTGTAATCCCAGCACCCTTCAAGGCTGAGAAGGACAGACTGCAAGTCCAAGCCCAGCAGGGCAATTTAGTGAATTGGCAAAATCCTGTTACAAAGTTTATTTATTTAAATGTATTTATTTATTCAGTACAGAGTCTCACTACACAGCTCAGACTCATAGTGATCCTCCTGTCTCAGCCTCCCCAGCGCTGGGATTACAGGTGTGTGCTGCCACGTCAGGTTTCGGTGGCAAGCCCAAGGCAAGCCCACGGCATGCAGTACTGGAGATTGAATTCAGGTCCTTGTGCTTGCCAGGCAGGTGCTTAGACCACCGAGCTATCTCCCCTGGCCCCTGTCACAAAATTTAAAAAGAAACAATTTACAAGGCTGGAGATGTAGCTCAGTGTGAAGGTCCTGGGATCAATTCCCACTATGAAAAAAGTAATAATAATAAATGGGTGTGGGGGAGAACTACCTCTTGTTGAGTTTTTGTGTAGCATCAAAGAAGAATGCCCATAATTATTTTAAAAATTGCATTAAATACTCTTTCTTGGGCTAGGGGTAGATGACAGGGAGTAGTAGAGCACATGTCTAGCATGCATGGGGCCCTGGACACCACCCCCAGCGTTGCATACATACATAAATACAAACAAGCACTCTTTATTTTCCAAATGCATATTTGTGTGAAGTTGAATTATTTCATATGTGTATTTCAAGCAAAACAACATATTGGAAAAAACTGCACGCAGAAAAAAAGATCTTCAGAATGTAAAATAATATCACATTTCTAGGTAATTTTGGGGGGTATTACAAAATATAGTTACATTTTTGAAAAGACATAACATCTATTAACCTGCACTGTGTTAAATAATGGCTAGTATATA